CCTTACACATCCAGTACTTCATGGGACAGACTGTTCATTCTTAATGATTGTTAGGCCTATATGCAAACAGAATATTGGTGAGTGTTGTATATAGTCAGTAAATGCAAGTCAAATTCTCTAAATATGTAAGACATTTGAGATGTCACTGAAATGCAACCTTTTACAATACACACAGGTGAGGTATTCAGACTTCCATACAGTTAACATAATTTAAAGATAAAATCACAAACACACATCCCTCTCTCTCAGTGTCTCAGACTCCGAACACGGTTTCTATTTGACTTTGGGCTCACACATTCACATGTAAATAATAATCTATTCTTAGTTACTAGGTCAAGGGGATTCTGTTTCGATAGACTCGTGGTCTGAACCAGCATACAGTTTCATTACAATCTAAGACGAAAACATTAGAACTTATGAAGTATAGTAAGACAGTGGGTCAGGGGAAATAATTGTAGGTCACAAGAATGTTCAGTCACAGAAATGTGTGATAGGCCGCAAGAAAATGTTGTGGGTCACAAAAGGTGCAGTATGCCCTGGTCACCATTGTCTCGGCCGTCTGCACTGATCTATCTGATAACTCGCAAACACCCATGGGATAGCTACAAATAAGTTCCGCTACAATATGCTGTCCTAACTTTTGTAATGTTACCAAGGTGACATCGTCCACTTTACCCCCTTTCATCCTCAAAAGAGTCTGAGTTAATCTAACCAAAAACAATAAACCTGTAGCTAATATTTTTTTTCATTTTTTTTTCATTAGCAAGTCTTCATTATACAGTTCTACATCTTGCTAAGGTGTTTTGTGGTTCTAGAATCAGTATATATGAAATTGAAAATGTGCATGATTTTTTGTTTGGGGGGGGGTGGGGTGGGTTATGAAATGTGCATGAAAATGTGTTTGCTTGCTGTTTGCTTGCTGGCTGAACCAGTCTCAAATCAATCCTTATGAAACGAAAAAGGCAGGGATGCTAACAATGCCGGTTCCCGCACTCAATTCTGAATACTCCATCTATCTAGCTAGTTAGTGTGATGAAGTTCTAACTAATGCACAAATGCGTTTTCATGATATCTGTTCTGCTGTGATTAGTGCACCGAGTTCTACAGCACAGCTGTCCAAATGTTGCAAAGTAACGAGGCACAGTGACAGCTGTCAAAGTCAGATACATGCTGATTTCTGAGAACAGTCCCATATCTTTGGTGCCTGTGGTCCTCTGTAGCTCAGCTGGTAGAGCACGGCGCTTGTAACGCCAAGGTAGTGGGTTCGATCCCCGGGACCACCCGTACACAAAAAAATGTATGCACGCATGACTGTAAATCGCTTTGGATAAAAGCGTCTGCTAAATGGCGTATTATTATATTATAACTTCATCAACAAGCTGGCAAACTAGCTACAGTATGGCGATTCAAAGATGCTTGCAGTAGGCTGCTAACTGGAGCATGGTTTGCCGTAGTACTTGCCAGTGCATCATAGCTAACGAGAGCGGAGGGATTTTCAGAATTAAGAACTAGTGTTAGGGGGATGAGCCAAATCTCACATTTTAGAGATGAGTTCCTACAAGACAGATTGTTTGAGGGACGAGTGTCGTGTAGGAGTGACGCGATCTGACAAAAGACAATGCCCTGATCACAAGAATGTGTAGTTGGTCACAATACATTTTTGAAGGGTCTAAGCTGGGTCACAATGCAACAACGTTTAGGAATCAATGTAGTTTTAGGTTTATTTGAGCATGTTGGTACATATACAGAAACATACATAAAATGTGATGTCATACAATATAAAACATATGATCAGCCTAACTATATGGACAGTGCATCATCATTAAATCATACATCATAAAGAACATAGTTCAAGAGCGCTTTGAAGGTCTTGACTGTGGCTTCATCCCGTCTGCTCTCCAGAGATGGGAGTGCGTTGTGGGGAGTGCCAATGATGTGGCAGCATCATCTCTGAATGCATTCTAAGTCCTTAGAGAGACACTTTGGAAGGCTGACCCACACTGGCGAAGCATACTCCATGAAAGCGCAGATGAAGGTCAGGTATACCATCACTAGCACATTAGAGGCTGCTGCTGCCTATTGAAATCACTGGCCACTTTAGGAAATTGAACATTAGTCACTTTAATAATGTTTACAGTCACTTTAATAATGTTTACATATCTTGCACTACTCATCTCATATGTATATACTGCATTCTATTCTATAACCTTTTACTGTATCTTAGTCCATGCCGCTCTGTCATTGCTTGTCCATATATGTATATTTTCTTAAATTCCATTCCTTACTAGTTTTGTGTGTATTAGGTATATGTTGTGAAATTGTTAGATACTACTTGTTAGATATTACTGCACTGTCAGAGCTAGAAGCACAAGCATTTCGCTACACCCGCTATAACATCTGATAAACACATGTATGTGACGAATACAATTTTATTTTATTTTATTTTATTTATACCTGCAGTCGGAATTCAGTTGGGAACCCAGTTCGCCTTGCTACACATATGTAGTTTATTGTGGGTTTAACCTTTTTTAAGCTATACCTGTCATGCTCGTCCCAGGACAGGTCAACTGACTCCATTGCACCCAGCAGTCGGATGGACTCCACATGCTCAACTGTTTACAGCAACAGCTGGTGGAGAAGCCTTGTCAGAAGCTGATGACCATAACATTGGTTTTCTTTTCGTTCACATACAGGCAGTTGTTTTTTTCCCCACTCAGTCACTGCATTGACGGCTGCTTGTGTTTGGTCAGGCAGCTTGCCTGGGAAAAACTCTGTGAGTGTGAGGTCACAACTTTGCGAATGACAGATAAACACATTTATCAGGCCTGGTCAATGGCTCCTTCCTGTAAATGCAGTATAAAATATACTATCAGTGAAGCACTTGGAGGATAATGCCCTGGCCAAGGAGATACTGTGTAGATAAGGCTTCTTTTTCTGCAGAACTTCCTTGAGAATGTTGTCTGCACGTGTAATCATAAAATGGTGAATTCATAAATAACATAAATGGTAAGATAGTCTGATAATGCCATCTATTTTTCTCTGGCTTACTTCATTACACCTTTAACTGCAGTGGACATAGTACAATCTTTATTAACAAGCTAGAGAAATACAATCTCTATAAGGAGACAGTCTCGCACGAAAAACAAAGGGGTGGGGGGGCAGGTGCTCAAAAGTGAAAATAGGGCAACCCCCCTAATGGGTTAAAATGTATTGATATATACACAGTACCAGTCAAAAGTTTGGACACACCTACTTATTCAAGGGGTTTTCTTTATTTTTACTATTTTCTACTTTGTAGAATGATAGTGAAGACATCAAAACTATGAAATAACACATATGGAATCATGTAGTAACCAAAAAAGTGTTAAACAAATCAAAACATATTTTATATTTGAGATTCTTCAAAGTAGCCACCCTTTGCCTTGATGACATCTTTGCACACTCTTGGCATTCTCTCAACCAGCTTCACCTGGAATGCTTTTCCAACAGTCTAGAAGGATTTCCCACATATGCTGAGCACTTGTTGGCTGCTTTTACTTCACTCTGTGGTCCAACTCATCCCAAACCATCTCAATTGGGTTGAGGTCGGGTGATTGTGGAGGCGAGGTCATCTGATGCAGCACTACATCACTCTCCTTCTTGGTCAAATAGCACCTACACAGCCTGGAGGTGTGTTTGGTCATTGTCCTGTTGAAAATCAAATGATAGTCCCACTAAGCGCAAACCAGATGGGATGGCGTATCACTGCAGAATGCTGTGGTAGCCATGCTGGTTAAGTGTGCCATGAATTCTAAATAAATCACTGATAGTGTCACCAGCAAAGCACCCCCACACCCTCACACCTCCTCCTCCATGCTTCTCGGTGGGAACCACACATGCGGAGATAATCTGTTCACCTACTCTGCGTCTCACAAAGACACGGTGGTTGGAACCAAAAATCTCTAATTTGGACATCAGACCAAAGGACATATTTCCACCGGTCTAATGTCCATTGCTCGTGTTTCTTGGCCCAAGCAAGTCTCTTCTTCTTATTGGTATCTTTTAGTAGTGGTTTGTTTGCAGCAATTCGACCATGAAGGCCTGATTCACGCAGTCTCCTCTGAACAGTTGATGTTGAGATGTGTCTGTTACTTGAACTCTGTGAAGCATTTATTTGGGCTACAATTTTTGAGGCTGGTAACTCTAATGAACTTATCCTCTGCAGCAGAGGTAACTCTGGGTCTTCCTTTCCTGTGGCGGTCCTCATGAGAGCCAGTTTCATCATAGCGCTTGATGGTTTTTGTGACTGCACTTGAAGAAACTTTCAAAGTTCTTGAAATTTTACGGATTGACTGACCATGTCTTAAAGCAATGATGGACTGTCGTTTCTCTTTGCTTATTTGAGCTATTCTTGCCATAATATGGACTTGGTCTTCTACCAAATAGGGCTATCTTCTTCTGTACACCACCCCTACCTTGTCAGAACACAACTGATTGGCTCAAATGCATTAAGAAGGAAAGAAATTCCACAAATTAACTTTTAACAAGGCACACCTGTTAATTGAAATGCATTCCAAATGTACCTCATGAAGCTGGTTGAGAGAATGCCAAGAGCGTGCAAAGCTGTCATCAAGGCGAAGGGTGGCTACTTTGAAGAATCTCACATATATTTTGATTTGTTTAACACTTTTCTGGTTACTACATGATTCCATATGAGTTATTTCATAGTTTTGATGTCTTCACTATCATTCTGCAATGTAGAAAATAGTACAAATAAAGAAAAACCCTTGAATGAGTAGGTGTGTCCAAATATCTGACTGGTACTGTATATATATATTTTGCGAGGGTACTTTCCTCATATGAGGGCAAAAGTCCCAAGACCCTATCTGTGCTCATTGCAGGTACCAGCTAATATTTAACTCTGGGTTGTGCACAGTATATACAGTGGACATGTTCAGCGAGTCAATACAGAATGAACTTTCAAGTATATAGGCCTACTCCTAAAGTTTATCCATCTGTAGAATGGGGGGACTGACTCTGACCCTGCTGCTGCTGTGTCTGTCTGGGACTCTGAATACAAGATTCACAACAAGCAGATAGAGACTGCAGCAACCACCAGTACCCAGGAGAGATGCCAGTCCATCATCCACACTGAGCTCAGACAACTGAGGGCTATGGTAGAGGAGCTGAAGAGACAGAGACAAGGTAATAGTCACTATTTTCTCTGGAAACCAATGACTTTGTTGCTTTTGCTCACTACCCAACTTTGTTGCTTTTGTTGCTATCCTCACAAGTTTGCTGAGCAACAACCTTTGTTTGTCTACAAAGACACCAAAGGTGGCCTTCTCAGGTGCGCTAGGAATTCATGGTGGACATATAGGGCCGTATAACACTGGCACTACTTCAGTCTACCGAAAGATATTCACCAATGTTGGCAATGCCTACAGCTCAAACACAGGTAGGTGATTTCTAACCATGGTCGAGCCATCTTATGCAATGAATGTCAATTTAACAAATTGACAATTGACTAAAGCTTTCATTGATTAATTTCTTTAATGTTTTTCAGGCATCTTTGTGAGGCCTGTGAGAGGAGTCTATGTCTTCGGTTTCTCTGCTTTCAATCATGCCAGTGCACACACTACTGCTATCAGTGTATATTATAATGGGCAGACAATATTCTCTATTCACGACGAGAAGTCAGGGAGCACAGATGACTCTTCATTCAACAGTGCCTCCATTCTGTTGGAAGAGGGAGACCAGGTCTACATGCGTCTGTTGGCAAACATGAGGGTCTACGAGGACCACCTCATTTACAATACCTTCAGTGGTCACCTCCTTTATCCTATGTAAAACCAATGTACTTGGAGCTAATATTAATATTCAAAATGTAATACTACATCTTATTTTCTAAATTATACATACACGGTATAATTTGTATTTACTGTAATTGATTTAGAATTGATTAATACTCTTAACAATGTATTAGCTTTAATTCCATAAAAATATTATTAATATATACAAAATGTAAACTAACGTGTATAACCAAATAAAAAGGTAATTTCTATTAACTCTCTGACCACGAGTCAAGCTTCTCGTGTACACAAACATAATTATTGTTTTGTTTATACCTCTCCCCATCAAATCAAATCAAATCAAATTTTATTGGCCACATGTGCCGAATACAACAGGTGTAGTGCTTACAGTGAAATACATTACAGTGAAATGCTTACTTACAGCCCTTAACCAACAATGCATTTATTTTTTTATAAAAAAGTAAAATAAAACAACACAACAAAAAAGTGTTGAGAAAAAAAGAGCAGAAGTAAAATAAAATAACAGTAGGGAGGCTATATATATTGTCACGGTTTCGGCCGAGGCGGCCCCTCCTCCTTGTTCGGGCAGGCTTCGGCGGTCGTCGTCTCCGGAGTACTAGCTGCCACCGTTCGATGTTTCATGTTTGATTGGTTTTGTCTGTTTGTCACACCTGTTTAGTGTTTAGTCTCATTAGGCACCCTATTTAGTTCCTTGTGTTAGGTCAGGTGTTGTGTGTAATTGTTTTTACGTCAGTCGTGTGTTTCGCTCGGTTGAGCTTCTCTCCACTGCGCTGGAGTATTTTCGCACCTGTTTGTGCGCTGTTACTATTTCGCCTTCGTGCGTATTTTCGCCTTCGGGCCAGTTGTCCTTTTGCCTTGGTTTTGGCTTTAATACAAGTCTTTGGATTATCGTTCTGAGTCCTGCGTTTGATTCCACCACTACACCTACAGCCCGCCCTGACAGAATTACACACCTACCATGGAATCAGCAGGAGCCGAAGCAGGACAGACGAGACTGGAGGCCCAGGTTCGGGAACAACAGGACCAGATCCTGCAGATGGGGACCGCCCTGCAGGAGGTGATCACCACCCTCCGAGGCTGGGGTACGCCTCCACCGCCTCCCTCCCTGCCAGCACCATCGGCCAGTCCGCCCATTCCAGCGCCGGAACCTCGAGGAGTCCGACTCTCTCTCCCGAGGGCCTACGACGGAACCGCGGCTGGGTGTCAGGGATTCCTCCTCCAGGTGGAGCTATACCTGGCCACCGTGCACCCGGCACCTTCGGGGCATGAGAGCGTGTCCGCCCTGATCTCCTGTCTGGCCGGGAAGGCGTTGGAGTGGGCCAACGCGGAGTGGAGGAAGATCGACGCCGCGACTATTACCTACGACGAGTTCTCCCGCCGCTTCAGGGCGGTGTTTGACCATCCCCCGGAGGGGAAAGCGGCGGGGGGAGCGTCTGGTCTTCCTCCGGCAGGGGAGGAGGAGTGCCCAGGAATTCGCTCTCGAATTCCGTACTCTAGCGGCAGATGCAGGGTGGAATGATCGGGCCCTCGTCGATCTATACAGATGTAGCCTACGAGAGGACGTCCGTCGGGAGCTGGCTTGTAGGGACACCAGCCTCTCTTTCGACCAGCTGGTCGACATGTCCATCAGGCTGGATAACCTACTGGCTACCCGCGGACGTCCTGCGGAGGGTCCGTCCATTTCACCCTCCAGCGCCTCCGAGCCGTGTCCCATGGAGCTCGGGGGCGCTGGCGCTAGAGAGAGGAGGAGTCGGCAGGCTAGGGGGTCCATCCACTGCACCAACTGTGGTCGGGGAGGACACACCGCGGCTAGGTGCTGGGGATGGCCTCCTAGGGGAGATGACGACAGGTCCCGCACTGGGGATTCCCTCCAGGTGAGTAGGCGCCCCACTCACCCAGAGCTCACTGTTGCCCATTTTTGTATGCCTGTGCGTTTTCCACAGGTAGCACCTCATTCCCAGCATAAGGCACTGGTAGATTCAGGCGCGGCTGGGAATTTTATTGATAAGAAGTTTTGTTTAGCGTTAGGGATTCCCCTTATTCCTGTTGATGTTCCTTTCCCCGTTCATGCCCTAGATAGCCGTCCGTTGGGTGCGGGCTTAATCAGGGAGGTCACGGCGCCACTTAGGATGTGTGCGCAGGGGGATCATCAGGAGATGATTCAGCTGTTCCTGATTGACTCTCCTGCGTATCCGGTGGTGCTGGGCATGCCCTGGTTGAGTACCCATAACCCAGCTATTTCGTGGCAGGAGAGGGCTCTGATGGAGTGGTCTGCTCAGTGTGTGGGTAGATGTTTGGGGCGTTTCCGTAGGGGCTACCTCGGTGGAGAGTCCAAACCAGGTGCCCGCATTGCACGTTCCCCCTGAGTATGGGGATTTGGCTATTGCGTTTAGTAAGGCGAGGGCGACGCGGTTGCCACCCCATAGGCAGGGAGATTGTGCGATAGACCTCCAGGCAGGAGCTGCGCTCCCACGGAGCCATGTGTATCCTCTGTCTCAGGAGGAGAAGAAAGCTATGGAGATTTACATAGACGAATCTCTGAGACAAGGATACATACGGCCTTCCACTTCCCCTGCGTCCTCGAGTTTCTTTTTTGTGAAGAAAAAGGATGGTGGTTTGCGCCCGTGCATCGATTACCGTGGTCTCAATCAGATTACGGTGAAGTACAGTTATCCACTCCCGCTGATTGCGACCATGACTGAGTCGTTGCATGGGGCGCGTTTCTTCACGAAATTAGATCTCAGGAGCGCGTACAACTTGGTGCGCATCAGGGAGGGTGATGAATGGAAGACAGCCTTTAGTACCACCTCGGGCCATTACGAGTATCTGGTCATGCCATACGGGTTGATGAACGCTCCGTCAGTTTTCCAATCATTCGTGGATGAGATCTTCAGGGACATGCAGGGGCAGGGGGTGGTTGTGTACATTGATGACATTCTCGTGTACTCGCCTACCCGTGTCGAGCATGTGGCCCTGGTGCGTAGAGTGTTGCGGAGGCTGGTGGAGCACGACCTGTATGTGAAGGCAGAGAAGTGTCTGTTTTTCCAGGAGTCGGTCTCCTTTTTGGGTTATCAGTTGTCTGCGTCAGGGGTGAAGATGGAGGTAGACCGGGTGTCGGCCGTGCGTAATTGGCAAACACCAACCACTGTGAAAGAGGTGCAGCAGTTTTTGGGGTTTGCAAATTACTACAGGAGGTTTATCCGGGGTTTTGGACAGGTGGCAGCTCCCATCACGTCTCTGTTGAAGGGGGGTCCGGTGCGTCTGCAGTGGTCGGCCGAGGCGGACAGGGCGTTTGGGAGGCTGAAGGACCTGTTTACCTCGGCCCCGGTGCTGGCGCATCCGGATCCCTCTTTGCCGTTCCAGGTAGAGATGGACGCGTCAGAGGCCGGTTTAGGAGCCGTGCTTTCACAACGGTCTGGCGCGCCACCTAAACTCCGCCCCTGTGCTTTTTATTCTAAGAAGCTCAGTCCGGCGGAGCGGAACTATGACGTAGGGGACAGGGAGCTGTTAGCCGTGGTACAGGCTCTAAAGGTGTGGAGGCACTGGCTTGAGGGGGCTCAACACCCTTTCCTCATTTTGACGGACCACCGTAACCTGGAGTACATCCGGGCGGCGAGGAGGCTGAACCCTCGCCAGGCAAGATGGAGTATGTTCTTGACCAGGTTTACTTTTAAAATCACGTACATCCCTGGGTCACAGAATGGCAAGGCAGATGCGCTGTCTCGGCGGTATGACACGGAGGAGAGGTCCGTGGAGCCCACTCCCATACTGCCTGAGTCGTGTCTGGTGGCACCGGTAGTGTGGGAGGTCGATACTGAACTCGAGCGGGCGTTACGCACCGACCCTAGTCCACCACAGTGCCCGGAGGGTCGGAAGTACGTTCCGCTCGAGGTTCGGGATCGATTGATCTATTGGGCTCACACGTCACCCTCTTCTGGACATCCGGGTATCGGCCGGACAGTGCACTGTCTTAGTGCCAAGTACTGGTGGCCCACGTTGGCAAGGGATGTGAGGGTTTATGTTTCCTCCTGCTCGGTGTGCGCCCAGTGTAAGGCGCCTAGACATCTGCCTAGGGGTAAGTTGCTACCCCTGCCCGTTCCACAACGACCATGGTCCCACCTCTCTGTGGACTTTATAACGGACCTTCCCCTCTCCCAAGGGAATACTACTATCCTGGTCGTTGTGGACCAGTTCTCTAAGGCCTGTCGTTTGCTCCCCATGCCGGGTCTTCCTACTGCCCTGCAAACTGCCGAGGCACTGTTCACCCATGTGTTCCGGCACTACGGGGTACCCGAGGACATTGTGGCTGATCGGGGTCCCCAATTCACCTCCAGAGTCTGGAGAGCGTTTATGGAACGGTTGGGGGTTTCGGTGAGCCTTACCTCGGGTTACCACCCGGAGAGTAATGGGCAGGTCAAACGTGTCAACCAGGATGTGGGTAGGTTTCTGAGGTCATATTGTCAGGGCCGGCCGGAGGAGTGGGCGAGATATGTGCCCTGGGCCGAGATGGCACAGAACTCTCTCCGCCACTCCTCCACTAAACTAACCCCTTTCCAGTGTGTGTTAGGGTACCAGCCGGTTCTGGCACCTTGGCATGAGAGCCAGATCGAGGCCCCTGCTGTGGATGAGTGGGTGCGGCGCTCGGAGGAGACGTGGAACGCTGCACACGTCCATCTGCAGCGAGCCATCCGTCGACAGAAGACGAGCGCCGACCTCCACCGCAGTGAGGGGCCAGTGTACGCACCTGGAGATCGAGTCTGGCTCTCAACCAGAAACCTGCCCCTCCGCCTGCCCTGCCGGAAGCTGGGTCGGCGGTTTGTGGGGCCTTTTAAAGTCCTGAGGAGATTGAACGAGGTGTGTTACAGGTTACAACTGCCCATTGATTACAAAAATATTAACCCCTCGTTCCATGTGTCTCTCCTCAGGCCGGTGGTAGCTGGTCCACTCCAGGACTTTGAGATAGAAGAGACTCCTCCGCCCCCGTTGGACATCGAGGGGGCTCCGGCGTACACTGTTCGGGCCATCCTAGATTCGAGACGCCGGATGGGGGGTCTCCAATATCTCGTGGAGTGGGAGGGGTACGGCCCGGAGGAGCGGTGCTGGGTGCCGAGGAGGGACATCCTGGACCCGTCCCTTCTGACCGAATTCCATCGTGGTCATCCTACGCGCCCTGCTCCGCGTCCTCCTGGTCGTCCCCGGGGGCGGCGCACGGCTGGAGCCGCGCGTCAAGGGGGGGGTACTGTCACGGTTTCGGCCGAGGCGGCCCCTCCTCCTTGTTCGGGCAGGCTTCGGCGGTCGTCGTCTCCGGAGTACTAGCTGCCACCGTTCGATGTTTCATGTTTGATTGGTTTTGTCTGTTTGTCACACCTGTTTAGTGTTTAGTCTCATTAGGCACCCTATTTAGTTCCTTGTGTTAGGTCAGGTGTTGTGTGTAATTGTTTTTACGTCAGTCGTGTGTTTCGCTCGGTTGAGCTTCTCTCCACTGCGCTGGAGTATTTTCGCACCTGTTTGTGCGCTGTTACTATTTCGCCTTCGTGCGTATTTTCGCCTTCGGGCCAGTTGTCCTTTTGCCTTGGTTTTGGCTTTAATACAAGTCTTTGGATTATCGTTCTGAGTCCTGCGTTTGATTCCACCACTACACCTACAGCCCGCCCTGACATATATAGGGGGGTACCGGTGCAGAGTCAATGTGTGGGGCACCGGCTAGTTGAGGTAGTTGAGGTAATATGTACATGTGGGTAGAGTTAAAGTGACTATGCTTAAATAATTAGCAGCCGCGTAAAAAGATGGGGTGGGGGTGGGGGGGGCAGTGCAAATAGTCCGGGTAGCCATGATTAGCTGTTCAGGAGTCTTATGGCTTGGGGGTAGAAGCTGTTGAGAAGTCTTTTGGACTTAGACTTGGTACTCCGGTACCGCTTGCCGTGCGGTAGCAGAGAGAACAGTCTATGACTAGGGTGGCTGGAGTCTTTGACAATTTTGAGGGCCTTCCTCTGACACTGGCTGGTATAGAGGTCCTGGATGGCAGCAAGCTTGGCCCCAGTGATGTACTGGGCCGTACGCACTACCCTCTGTAGTGCCTTGCGGTCGGAGGCCGAGCAGTTGCCATACCAGGCGGTGATGCAACCAGTCAGGATGCTGTCGATGGTGTAGGTTGTTGTCCTGGCACCACACGGCCAGGTCTCTGACCTCCTCCCTATAGGCTGTCTCATCATTGTCGGTGATCAGGCCTACCACTGTTGTGTTGTCGGCAAACTTAATGATGGTGTTGGAGTCGTGCCTGGCCATGCAGTCATGGGTGAACAGGGAGTACAGGAGGGGACTGAGCACGCACCCCTGAGGGGCCCCCGTGTTGAGGATCAGTGTGGCAGATGTGTTGTTACCTACCCTTACCACCTGGGGGCGGCCCGTCAGGAAGTCCAGGATCCAGTTGCAGAGGGAGGTGTTTAGTCCCAGGATCCTTAGCTTAGTGATGAGCTTTGAGGGCACTATGGTGTTGAATGCTGAGCTGTAGTCAATGAATACCATTCTCACGTAGGTATTCCTCTTGTCCAGGTGGGAAAAGGCAGTGTGGAGTGCAATAGAGATTGCATCATCTGTGGATCTGTTGGGGCGGTATGCAAATTGGAGTGGGTCTAGGGTTTCTGGGATAATGGTGTTGATGTGAGCCATGACCAGCCTTTCAAAGCACTTCATGGCTACAGATGTCAGTGCTACGGGTCGGTAGTCATTTAGGCAGGTTATCTTAGTGTCCTTGGGCACTGGGACTATGGTGGTGTCTTTGGATAATATTTAACCCAGACATGCTTATAAAAACAAGAGGTAGGCTACACGCAGACACATCACAGAGGAAAAAGCCTGAGAATCAATACAGACCTGCAGGTTATATAGCCGCAGTAGATATATCTACTACTGAAGTACACATTTAAGTATTGATCTGTAGAATGGGGGGACTGACTCTGACCCTGGTGCTGCTGTGTCTGTCTGGGACTCTCAGTGAAGATGCTGGAGAAGACAACCTGAATGACATCATGGTACAGATTCAGCCTGAACAGGGACGGAACATAGAGAATGAATACAAGACTCACAACCAGCAGGTGAAGACCGCATCCACTACAACAACAACCCAATCAGGATGTGAGCCTACCATTCATACTGTGATGAGAGAACTGGGGGCAATGGAGGAGAGACTGGGAGCAACTGTTAGGTCATTGGAAGGCATGAGAAACAGGCTGGAAGCCAGTGAGAGACCAAGTTAGGTCGTTAAATGCCACAGTGAATGAACTGAAGAGATTCAATGAAGGTAAAGTGTATGATGTATGATGTTCACTGGGAAGCATTAGTGCATAATCAATGAGTATGTTCAAAGTGTTCCAATTGTCAATTGTTTTACTGTATTATAAGTTTACTTAAAGTAATTTTGATCAAACTGTAATTTACCCATGACATTTTTTTTTTGTCATGTTGTTGTGCCAATCAAGTTGTGTTAACTTAAACTGAACAGTAATTATTGTAAATGATCAAAACGTAACTGTAAAACAAATGTTGTCATGTCATCTTAAATCCTAGACAGGCCCCAGGTGGCGTTCTCAGCTACTTTAGGAATTTCTGGAACCATTGGACCTGTCAGCAATGAAATCACTCTGGTCTTCCGGCGTGTTCTATCAAACATTGGAAATGCCTACAATCCAACCACAGGTATTTACCTCAATGTCAAAAAAATGTATTTACATTTTTACACACAAAGCTCATGCTTCCATTAGTTAGTATGCTGTGTGTAGCTATTACTGTATGTTACATTTCCTTACTTCTTATACACTAAATGAACAATAATTCTTAATACTTTCTATTTTTCCTCCGATTGTAGGCATCTTTACAGCACCAGTGAGAGGACTCTACCATTTCACCTTCACAGCTTTTGATTGGGGATGGAGTACGACAGGGGCAAGCTTATGTCATAACGGACAGAGAATGGTCTCTGTGTATGATGAGAAGGAAGGAGGTTCCTCTGAGTCCTCATCCAATAGCGCCACCTTCCTGCTACAAGTGGGAGAGCAGGTGTACGTTGCTCTCTGGAGTGATGGACGTCGGATATCTGACAATGGCAATCACTACTCCTCATTTAACGGTTTCCTGCTCTTTCCCATGTGAGGAAAAGATGATGATGAATGTGTTAGAAATATGCTAGAAATGTTCAATATGTTTTTCTGGTCAATTACATACCATATTCTATGTCAAAACTGTAAGATGTTAGCGTGTGCTTGTAGGAATAAAAGAGGGGCATCCTGTATTTGTTCTCATTAGATATAATAATTGAGATTTTTAATTAAGAAGGCTAATAAAAATAATACATTCCATTGTATTTTATTGAACTGCGCGCATGTTGGCATTTATTGAGATTACTCATGTACTGGAGGCAGCTCTGCAGAGTGGTCACTATCTGGCACAGCCACAAAGTCATATAATCATATTTAAACCTAATCCTAACCTTAACCACACTGCTAAACCTAATGCTTAACCCTAACCTTAAAATAAGACCAACATTCGTTTTCTTTTCTTTTTTAATGCATTTTTATGATATAGACTACTTTGACTTTGCAGCTGGCCTATCTAGCGGAACCGCTTATTGGCGCCCAGTTCTGCCTCCAGGGCAAGACTCATGACAATAAACGTCAACCCGCTAACTCCACGGGAAAAAAATGATATATTCTCATTCACAGTACAGCTATCTGACGTATAGTATAGTACCAAATAAAATAGACACAAATAAATCTCACTTAAATATCTTCAATGTCTTCTCTTTTTTAAACCACTTCAGCGATTGCCTCTGTAGATTGTGTATTGCTTTAGGTCCTGCAGCAGAACGCATGCAATGTGACAATCATTATGATACATAGATATAGGGATGAGAATGATTATGACAGCTGCTTATAATGATAGAAGTGAGAATCATCCTCAAAACAATAAAGGCATTTCAATAGTTATGATTACAAATGGTTTCTAAATTATTATAAAGGCCCACTATTATACGAAGGTGATGAGGTACTCTGGGTACGCTTGGTCGTCGTGGAAGATGACAAACATGCTGGGTGTCTGCTGGTTGTCCACTAGACTGTCATAGCGGTCAGTGGGATCTGTGGGGGAGCGACGAGGGGTAAACTTCATGGAGGGGTCACCCAGGGTATAGCGCCCAGTCAGGACACGTGCAACGTACATATGCCTGTGCCCAGAACCATCAGGAGGGGTATATCTGGGATTGGATGAATAGCTTGCTTTCACAGCAAAATACACGCCCACTCCATATGCTGTAACTAAAAGAGGAAGACAGAGGGAAGGAAATTGATGAAGCGGAGAGAATGAATGAATTAATTAATAAACATTTAAGTAAGTAAAAGTACATGAATAAATGGCGGCATTGGAATAGCATGTAATAGCGTGTAATAGCATTGGAATAGCGTGGAATAGCAATGGAATAGCATGTAATAGCATTGGAATAGTATCTAATAGCATGTCATAGCATTGGAATAGCGTGTAATAGCATTGGAATAGCATGTAATAGCATTGGAATAGTATGTAATAGCATGTCATAGCATTGTAATAGCGTGTAATAGCATGTATAGCATGTAATAGCATTGGAATAGCGTGTAATAGCATTGGAATAGTATGTAATAGCATGTCATAGCATTGGAATAGCATGTATAGCATGTAAAAGCATTGGAATAGCACTGGAATAGCATTGGAATAGCATTGGAATAGCATGTAATAGCATTGTAATAGCCCTTACTATTAGCATAGCTCCTGTCAAATCCATTACTTTCAATGGCATCACAGGTTGTTGCTGCCGTCCCGTGGTAGAGTTTCTTTAGCCCCACCTCTGCTGGTCCGTTCTTGGCCCGGATGCGCTGCTCACACAATGCGTACGCCTGCCACAGAAATACATTCTGCACACGCTCGATCTGACAAAGAGACAAAGTTTCAAGAATAAATCAACACCTTAAACACAACCGTGTACAACACTACAGTATTGGTACTTTCATTAACACTGAACAAAAATATAAAACGCAACATGCAACAATTGCATCGATTTTCCTGAGTTAAAGTTCATATCACGAAATGAGTTAATTTAAATAAATAAATTAGGCCCTAATCTATGGATTTCACATGACTGGGAATACAGATATGCATCTGTTGGTCACAGATACATTGAGAAAAGAAAGTAGGGGCGTGGATCAGAAAACCAGTCAGTATCTGGTGTGACCACCATTTGCCTCATGCAGCGCGACACATTTCCTTTGCATAGAGTTGATCAGGCTGTTGATTGTGGCCTGTGGAATGTTGTTCCACTCCTCTTCAAAGGCTGTGCGAAGTTCTGGATATTGGCAGGAACTGGAACATGCTGTCAAACACGTAGATCCAGAGCATCCCAAACACGCTCAATGGGTGACATGTCTGATGAGTATGCAGGCCATGGAAGAACTGGGACCTTTTCAGCTTCCAGGAATTGTGTACAGATCATTGTGTCATGGGGCCATGTATTATCATGCTGAAACATGAGGTGTTTGAGGCGGATGAATGGCACGACAATGGGCCTCAGGATCTCGTCACGGTATCTCTGTGCATTCAAATTGCCATTGATCAAATGCAATTGTGTTCATTGTCCATAGGTTATGTCTGCCCATACCATAACCCCACTATGGGGCACTCTGTTCACAAAGTTGACATTAGCAAACCGATGTTGGAGGCGGCTTACGGTAGAGAAATGAACATGTAATTCTCTAGCAACAGCTCTGGTGGACATTCCTGCAGACAGCATGCTAATTGCACACTCCCTCAAAACTTGAGACATCTGTGGCATTGTGTTGTGTGACAAAAGTGCACATTTTAGAGTGGCCTTTTTCTGTCCTCAGCACAAGGTGCACCTGTGTAATGATCATGCTGTTTAATCAGCTTCTTGATATGCCACACCTGTCAGGTGGATGGATTATTTTGGCAAAGGAGAAATGCTCACTAACAGGGATGTAAACAAATTTGTGCACAACATTTGAGAGAAATATAATTTCTGTGCGTATGGAACATTTCCGGGATCTTTAATTTCAGCTCAAGAAACATGGGACCAACACTTTACATGTTGTGTTTATATATTTTTTCAGTGTACTATACAATACTGTACAACAGTAATGTCTTTGTATTTTAATTTACTATACTATCAGATATATTCATAATAAGCAGCTGGTTGTGTGTCAGGTTGTGGCGTGTCAAGTTGTGGCGTGTCAGGTTGTGGCGTGTCAGGTTGTTGGTCTGTTACTTTGTGGATGGTGACGTGTGCTGCTGTGGTGCTTTGGAATCCCTGTGCCACCTCCTGGTACTCTGGTGAGGTAGGCAAGAGCAGCACTCTCTTCAGCGTTTCACCGGCGGCCATATCATCCCAGTACGATGGCAACTCTAAAAACACATCAAGTACACAGGACTATAAAGCTGAGTTTACGGCATGAACAGGACTATCAGAGGATGTTTAAAATGTTAAACGGGTGTTAAAGATAATAGTGAAATCAATAGTGGCTAGGGGTCATTAGGCTGTTGACATAATGGATTCAAGGGTTATTGTTAACTGCAAATCAATGTCTGACTGTAAAGTCGCTCTGGATAAAAGCATACGCTAAATGACCAAAATATAAATTTTATAAAACTAAGTCAGAAATTCAAAAGCTGAAAATAAAACAAATCTATCCGTACTTGCACTCTCCTCTCGCTTCAACTTTAAGGTGTGACCCGTTCTCCAGTCAGTGGCCACATTGTTCTTCAGGTTCACCTTGACTTTGCTCCCATCTGGGACTTCGAGCTCTGCTGAGACTTCTCCTCTCAGGTGTGCCTGCTCCAGAAGGTAGTTGGCATGCATCCCCAGCTCCTCCCAAATGTCACTATGCCTGCACATAGACCACTGGACACTGAGGGCCACTACAGCCTCATTTCTCTCATTCAGCTCCCTACGGAGGGCGCCACTGAGCGCACTGTCAAGCACCTCGCGCACGCTCAGAACGTCCTCCGTCAGGCCTTGGAGAACATAAAACCCCTCCCCAGCCGCAGCTCCACCTCCACCTCCAGCTCCAGCCCAAGCCTCCACTCCTCCTGCCCTCTGAATTCTACCCAGCTCCAGGCTCACTCCCAGGGCCTTCGCTTTCTTCTGCACGGCCTGCAGCTCCACCTCTTCCAGCACGCACAGGTCCTCTCCCTTCACCTCTCTCTGAGTCAGCTGATTCTGCAGGATGGCATCCAGCTCCCGCCTGGCCCCCCTTATAGCGTCCACCCCACTCCCCACCACGCTCAGCACCGCCGGGGGCGGTCTCCAGGGGGTGATGGTGAGGCCTGCTTGGGCAGAGGAAGGAGGAAGGCAGCCATGTGCGGGGGAGGAAAAGCCAATATTAAGTTTCTTCTTCAGTATCCGTTGGGCCCTCTCTGAGGAGATAAATAGAGGAGAGTTAAGAAAGAGCGTATAAAGATAAATGTTATAACTAGGACCCAAAGTTTTCCAGGTAAAACTCTGGGCCCAAGTTATATCTACATATCCAATAATATAAAGATAATTTGTACATACACAAGTACACACACACACACACACAGATACCTTTCAGTGTTGGGGTTGGGGCGATAGTTCCCAGTCGGCTCTCCAGCTCTGACCTGTAAACAAACAAAAACATAAATAAAATGTCCTGTCCAAAGCTTAACAACATCCAGACATCATAACTAACACTGATAAATAACCTCTGATTAGATAACAAAAACTAATTATATAAGTGAAGCAAACTACACACAAATAAACGTATCATAACATTTAAACTTGGGTTGCCCAACCCTGTTCCTGGAGAGCCACCCTCCTGTAAGTTTTCGCTCCAACCCCAGTTGTAACTAACCTGATTCAGCTTATCAACCCGGTAATTATTAGAATCAGGTGTTCTACATAAGGGTTCCACTCTAAACCTACAGCATAGTAAGGCTTGCAGTCCAAACGCAAAGTAGACCGCCCTCGGCCCTAAACCCTCAGCCCATCTTCACATCCCAGTGCATCTTAAATGTCCCTTGCCCAAGCGAGGGAGAGTGATGATCGGAGGCAATGTCCTTGGTAGAAATCTTGAAGTTCAGCTTAAAAACTACCAACCTAAAGCTATTAATGTACCTAGGAAGCTAACGTAGCTAGCTAGCACTTCTGTCGGGTGGCTAGCTACAGTTACCCATAGCTGGCTAGCTAGTTATATAGTTTTGGTAATTTATTCCAATCAATTTCAGAATTCCCAAAATATGTTTATGAAGCTAGCTACGTTTTATAGGCTCCTCACTACGAGACTAAGCCAATTTTAACGTATTTCCCATTTGCCAACGCTAAAATCAATGTCATATAGCTTTTTTCAAGCTAGCATCATAATTTTGTCTCACATGCCGAAAATGCAGCCGTGTTGATATAATTTGTGATTGAATTGTGGGTCATATCAACCACACAAGTGACCAAAGTTCTTCACTCGCTCCGTCGAGCTAAATCGAGGGCCGAGGGGGCTACGTTTGTGAATTGGACCTCCACTTAAGATGGCAATCAAACTGCATCCGGTTTCGACGAGGGAAAGTGGCTAGCGCGAGGGCTGAGGAGGGTAACATTAACATGTTTGGACTGCAGCCTAGCTCTTCAGGAACAGGGTTGGGCAGCGCTGATTTAAACCAAGACACACAAAAGACCCCACCATTTCAGACAATAAAAATGGAGACTGACTTGAATGCCTGGAAGACGGGTCTCTGCAGCATGACAATGCGGATGACAGAGAGGATGTTGGGGGACAAATCCCTCACCCTTGATGCAAAGCCGTCCAACATGGCCTTACACATAGAGCCAGCGTCTGCTCGAGCAGCACCTGTACAGCAAATACGTGTTTTTTAATGTCTATAATATCATCTAACCAGTAAATTACAGATTATAGATGCTGGTGTCACTAATGAAAACTTGTTCCTCAGTATTTGTTTTGATATTAACTCAATTGTGACCTACGGCATTTAAGACTAATAAATGCGCACAATAAAAATATTGAACACAAATTGGTATGGCAGAGGGTTGATAAAAGAGCAAATTAAGGGAGTCCGTATTGCATTTCACAAAAAAATGGGACATACTGTACATACCAGTGTTGATTGCAGGGAAGGCTGCAGATCGGAGGCCCTTTCTCTCACACTGTTTCAGTATCTTCCCGCAGACCTTGTTGATCCGCTGTGTGTCGCATTTAAAGCAGACGTGAACGATCTCCTTGCAGCCCAGTGCACCGGGCCCTGTGGTGCACATCCAGTCTGCTGGCACACCCACTGATGGAGAGGAGAATAAAAAAAGAAGTGGAGGCTGCTGATGGGAGGACAGCTGAGGGGAGGACTGCTGAGGGGAGGACAGCTGAGGGGAGGACAGCCGAGGGGTGGACTGCTGAGGGGAGGACAGCTGAGGGGAAGTTTGCTGAGGGGAGGACAGCTGAGGGGAGACTGCTGAGGGGAGGACAGCTGAGGGGAGGACAGCTGGGGGGAGGACTGCTGAGGGGAGACTGCTGAGTGGAGACTGCTGAGGGAAGGACAGCTGAGGGGAGGACAGCTGAAGGGAGGACTGCTGAGGGGAGGACTGCTGAAGGGAGGACTGCTGAGGGGAGTACAGTTGAGGGGAGGACTGCTGATGGGAGGACAGCTGAGGGGAGGACAGCTAAGGGGAGGACAGCTGAGGGGAGGACAGCTGAGGGGAGACTGCTGAGGGGAGGACAGCTTAGGGGAGGACTGCTTAGGGGAGGACTACTGAGGGGAGACTGCTGAGTGGAGACTGCTGAGGGAAGGACTGATGAGGGAAGGACTGCTGAGGGGAGGCTGCTGAGGGGAGGACAGCTGAGGGGAGGACTGCTGAGGGGAGGACTGCTGAGGGGAGGACTGCTGAAGGGAGGACAGCTGAGGGGAGACTGCTGAGGGGATGACAGCTGAGGGGAGACTACTGAGGGGAGGCTGCTGAGGGGAGACTGCTGAGGGGAGGACTGCTGAGGGGAGGACTGCTGAGGGGAGGACTGCTGAGGGGAGGCTGCTGAGGGGAGTTTGCTAAGGGGAGGCTGCTGAGGGGAGGACTGCTTAGGGGAGGACTGCTGAGGGGAGGCCTGCTGAGGGGAGGACAGTTGAGGGGAGGACAGTTGAGGGGAGGACTGTTGATGGGAGGGCTGTTGATGGGAGAGTCTGCTCATAATAACGTCTGGAAAGGAGTCAATGGAATGGTATCAACCACATGGAAACCACTTTTTTGATGTGTTTAATACCATTCCATTGACTCCATTCCAGCCATTATTATGAGCCGTCCTCCCCTCAGCAGCCTCCACTGGTTGGCACATAGTGTTCAATTATAGACATATGAGTGACAGTGGTGGCTGGTGGGAGGAGCTATAGGAGGACGGGTTCGTTGTAATGGCTGGAATTGAATCAAGGGTTTCTTATGTTTTATGTGTTTGATACCGTCACATTTATTCCATTCCAGCAATTACAATGAGCCCGACCTTCTATCGCTCCTCCCACCAGCCTCCACTGATAAGTGAAGAATAAGCTGATAAAGTGATATGTGAAGTGATTTTTCAATGTGTCTACGTCTTAGTGAAAAAGATTTGACTTCGTCAAATGATTACTTTCTGACTTGTGTGAAAGGATTGCTCTGAGAGTTTGTGATTGTGTTAATATGATTGTGTATGGAAACACTGTAAAACAAACCTTGTGCTAACTCTGCTTGGACTGTGGAACCTGCAGCAGTCAGAATAGCTTTGGAGACACCTACAGGAAGATAAGGGGACGTGAGGGGAAACAGAGAACAGAACAGAACAAACAAACACACACAACAGTGATGACTAATCAAAACCACATTGGAGGACAACCAGTGCTACCTGAGTGGTTGGCTGAGAAGTCTGTGGTGTTGACGATGACATCAGTGGTCTCACGGATGATGTCGCCGAAGACCAGCTGTAGCTTGACACTGCCCAGCATGGCAGAGACCTCGTCCTGAGTGGTTGAGATGTGACGATAGAAGGAGGCTGAGAGAGAGAAACAGAGAGAGAGGAGAGAGAGAGAGGGAGAGAGAGAAAGAGAGCGAGAGAGAGAAAGAGAGAACGAGAGAAAGATAGAAAGAGAGAAAGAGAGAAAGAGAGAGAGAGAGAGTCAGAGAACAATTTAAGCATGACAAAGCCACAAGAATTAGCCATACAGAATGAAGGAATTTGGAAAACTTAATTTCATAATCTATACAGAAACATCCCTCAAAAAGACTTTCAACATACCCAATTAGAAATTCAAAATCGAACATCCTTGAATCAGTCATTAAAAACAACCAAAATCCATTAGATTAGCCGATAACCCAACAAGAACTAAATTAAAAGAAGGGTTGTGCTCTAGATAACATCAGAAAAAATATGCTGAAAAACAGCACACCTGAGTTGCAAAATGCTATGCTTCAATTGTTCAACATGGTACTAACTTCTGGCTGCTTTCCTGATGTCTGTGAGGCTCATCTCCCCTATCCACAAAAGTGGAGACAAATCAAACCCCAATAATTACAGGGGAATTTGCGTAAACAGCAACTTGAGAAAGGTTTTCTGTTGCATTTTGAATTCAAGAATTCAAACCTTTCTTCAAGAAAAAAAATCTAATAAGTAAATGTCAAATTGGCTTTCTCCCCAACCATCGCACTACACAAAATTGAGACTGCATGCAGAATTCTGCAAAAATATCCTCTGTGTACAACGTAAAACACCAAATAATGCATGCAGAGCAGAATTAGGCTGTGGTCCTCTGTAGCTCAGCTGGTAGAGCACGGCGCTTGTAACGCCAAGGTAGTGGGTTCGATCCCCGGGACCACCCATACACAAAAATGTATGCACGCATGACTGTAAGTCGCTTTGGATAAAAGCGTCTGCTAAATGGCATATTATTATTATTATTATTATTATTAGGCTGATACCCTCTAATGATCAAAATCCAGAAAAGAGCCACTAAATTCTACAACCAACTAAACGGAAGCGATTCCCAAACCTTCCATAAAAAAGCCATAGCCTACAGATAAATTAACCTGTAGAAGAGTCCCCTAAGCAAGCTGGTCATGGGGCTCTGTTCACAAACACAAACAGACCCCACAGAGCCCCAGAACAACAACACAAATAGACCCAACCAAATCATGAGAAAACTAAAATATAATTACTTGACACATTGGAAAGAATTAACAAAAAAACAGAGCAAACTAGAATGCTATTTGGCCCTAAACATAGAGTACACAGTGGCAGAATGCCTGACCACTGTGACTGACCCAAACTTAAGGAAAGCTTTGACTATGTACAGACTCTGTGAGCATAGCCTTGCTATTGAAAAAGGCCGCCGTAGGCAGACCTGGCTCTCAAGAGAAGACAGGCTATGTGCACACTGCCACAAAATGAGGTGGAAACTGGGCTGCACTTCCTAACCTCCTGCCAAATGTATGACCATATTACAGATACATATTTCCCTCAGATTACACAGATCCACAAAGAATTAGAAAACAATGGGCTTTTCCCATGGGCAAAGAAATTCAAAAGGGGTGATGATATTAATTAATAGTAATTTCGATCCGAATGTGCAAATTGTCAAAATAGATACGCAAGGTAGATGGATTATTTTAAATATGTTATTGGACCATAAACAGATATGGCTCATTAACCTTTACGGACCAAATAATGATGATCCACAATTCTTTGACAATATATATAATAAATTATCAAGCCTGCAAGCAATTCAAGACAATATTGTTATGGTGGGGGATTATAATACTGTTTTAAATAGCTCAATGGACCGTAAAGGAAATCACACCACAAACAATCACCCACATGCTCTTAAGGAAATTGTGAATGTCATGGATACATTAGAACTAGTAGATATGTGGAGGCTTAAACATACTGATCTAGTGAGATATACATGGCGGAGACTGAATCAAGCTAGTCGTCTTGACTTCTTTCTTATCTCATTCTCGTTGGCACCAAAAGTTTAAAAAAAAGTGTTGATAGGGGACAGAATGCGGTCGGACCATCATATAATAGGCATATATACATTACTCTTACTGAATTTCCACGTGGGCGAGGATATTGTAAATTTAATCAAAGCCTATTGGATGATAATTTATTTATAATTAGAACAAAGGAATTTATAAAACTGACTTTTTCCAACATAACATAGGTACAGCGAATCCCCTTACTGTATGGGACACCTTTAAATGTGCCTTTAGAGGCCATGCAATTCAGTACTCATCTCGAAAACAAAAGCAATTTAGGTCAAAAGAGTTTATACTAAGAAAGGAAATAGAAAGTCTAACAGAACAGATAGATGGCAATAAAAACTGTAACATAGAGCTCAGAATAAATTAGAGGAAAAACAAAAAGAAATGGAGAAACTTATTCAAGAAAGATCAAGTGTAATATATTATAAAAATAAAGCAAACTGGATGGAATATGGGGAAAAATGCACAAAAATATTTTTTAATCTTCAACATAGGAATGCTACAAAAAAGAACTTAATGAAACTGGTTACAATTGACAGAGTCACCCATAATTCACCAAATGATATTTTGAAGGAAGAAACAAAGTACTTTAAGCATATGTTTTCTTTTCAGTCACCTCCATCTCCTCTAACTGAAGCTAATTGTAGATATTTTTTTTCTATTGATAATGTCAAATTAACAGCCACACAGAAAGACTAATGTGAAGGTGAAATTACAGAGGAGGAACTTCTGGATGCAATTAAAGACTTTAAGTCTGGGAAAACTCCAGGGCTGGATGGCATACCAGTCGAGGTATACCAAACCTTTTTTGATATACTAAGAGGACCGTTATTAGCATGTTTTAACCACTGCTATGTAAATGTTAGATTATCTGACACTCAAGAAGAAGGTCTGATCTCATTATTACTGAAACAGGATACAAGTGGAAAATATAAAGATCCAGTCCATTTACAAAATTGGAGGCCCCTTACACTTCAGTGTTGTGATGCATAGAATTAAAAAGGTATTGTCGGATATTATTCATTCTAATCAGACAGGTTTTTTACATGGAAGATACATTGGAGATAATATAAGGCAAGTATTGGAAACAATAGAACACTATGGAAAATATGGGAAACCAGGCCTGCTATTCATAGCAGACTTCGAAAAGGCATTTGATAAAGTTCGACTGGGGTTTATATATAAATGCCTGGAGCATTTCAATTTTGGAGAATCTCTTATAAAATGGGTCAAAATCATGTATAGTAACCCTAGGTGTAAAATAGTAAATAATGGCTATTTCTCAGATAGTTTTAAACTGTCAAGAGGAGTGAAACAAGGTTGTCCACTATCGGCATATCTATTTATTGTGGCCATCGAGATGTTAGCTATTAAAATCAGATCCAATAATAATATCAGAGGATTAGAAATCCAGGGCTTAAAAACAAAGGTGTACACTGATGATTTATGTTTTCTTTTAAATCCACAACTAGAACCCCTCCACAGCCTCATAGAGGATCTAGATACATTTACTAACCTCTCTGGATTACAACCAAATTATGACAAATGTACTATATTACGTATTGGATCACTAAAAAATATAAAATTTACATTACCATGTAGTTTACCAATAAAATGGTCTGATGGTGATGTGGATATACTCGGAATACATATCCCAAAGGAAATAAATGATCTCACTTCAATACATTTTAATAGAAAGTTAGCAAAAATAGATAAGATCTTACTACCATGGAAAGGAAAATACCTGTCAATTTGTGGAAAAATCCCCCTGAGTAACTCTTTAGTATTATCCCAGTTTACCTATTTGCTTATGGTCTTGCCTACGCCTAGCGAACAGTTTTTTAAATTATATGAGAAAATAATATTCAATTTTATTTGGAACAGCAAGCCAGACAAAATTAAAAGGGCATTTTTATATAATGAATATGAATTCGGAGGACAGAAATTATTAAATATTAAAGCATTAGACCTATCACTAAAAGCTTCAGTCATACAAAAGTTATACTTAAATCCGAACTGGTTCTCTTGCAAATTAGTAAGATTGTCTCACCCAATGTTCAAGAAAGGCCTTTTTCCCATTATTCAGATTAAAACAACTCATTTGCAGTTATTTGAAAAGGAAATCATCTCCCAAATATCACTATTTCTAAAACAAGCCATAGAAAGTTGGTTGCAATTTCAATTGAATCCTCCAGAAACAACAGAACAAATAATGCAACAAATATTGTGGTTAAATTCAAATATACTAATTGACAAAAAAACTTTATTTTTTGACAGAATGTTTAAAAAAAGGTATAATCTTCGTAAATGATATCATCGGTAGGACTGGTGGAGTTATGTCGCACATGCAGCTAACAAAAACATATGGAAATGTCTGCTCTACCCAAAATTACAACCAAATAATTGCAGCCTTACCGCAAAAGTGGAAGAGGAAAGTGGAAGGGGGAGAAAGTAAGGAACTTGTCTGTCGGCCTTGCATTAAAGAACATAATTGGTTAAGGAAAACTGTGATAAATCAAAAAAGTATATCAGTTTCACTTAAGGACCAAAGGATTGACAGCCGTCCCATATAGATTGCAAAATAGTTGGGAAGAGATCTTTGACGTACCGATCCCATGACATAGTGTTTATGAACTGACACGCAAAATGACACCGGATTCAAAAATTAGAATCTTTCAATTTAAATTATTATATACAATTCTTGCTACCAATAGAATGTTATTTATATGGGGGATACATTCTTCCCAGCTCTGTAGATTTTGCTGTGAAGAGACAGAATCATTAGATCATTTATTTTGGTTCTGTCCATTTGTAGCTTGTTTTTGGACACAGGTCCAGGAATGGCTAAAGAATTGCAATATTTACCTGGAGCTAACCTTGCAGATAGCATTACTGGGTGATATGAAACGTCATAGTCAATCGATCAATAATATAATAATACTTTTAGCAAAAAAAAGTATTTTTAATTCACAATCTGTAGAAGCAATGAGAATAGAAAGGTTCAGAACTTTTGTAAAACATCACAGTACGGTTGAAATATTTATGGCAAATAGAAATCCTATATGGATGGTGTTAAGAGATAGATGGGAGGTATTGAATAGAGTTGAAGGATGGGACTAATAACAAATAACAACAAATAATAACAAAGATAGCTAATAATGTAAGCATACTGTGTCCATAATAAGTATATAGGTTGTATGTTGGGAGCTTTTGGGAAAGAGCACAGTTATAAAGATATGGCATATAGAAGCAAACCGGATGGACATCATGAAAATGATCGGAGAGGTTGAGAGTAGAAGAAGTTCAGGAGTAAAAAAAAATATATATATATCCATAAGGTGTATAGTAAGTATAGACCGGACGTAGAGGCCTGGGCATTGTTGTTCACTAATTTACTCCAAGTAGGGAAAGGATGGCGGGGTTGAAAAGTAATAAAGGGGAGTATATATATAAAAAACATGGAGGATTGGAAGTGATGCAGACAATTACATTGATAGAAGATACAATCTATCTGCAATATTAAGCTGATCCACCCCCCCCCCCCCCAAAAAAAAAAAATTTCTAATAATAAATACATTTAAAAAAAGACAAATACAAAAAAATATATATATATATTAGAAAACAATCCAAATGTTCATAAACTGACATATCTATTGGGTGACCACAGTGTGCCATCACAGCAGCAAGATGTGTGACCTGTTGCCACAAGAAAAGGGCAACCAGTGAAGAACAAACACCATTGTAAATACAATACATATTTATATTTATTTTCCCTTTTGTACTTTAACTATTTGCACATAATATGACATTTGAAATGTCTTTATTCTTTTGGAACTTTTGTGAGTGTAACGTTTACTGTAAATTTTTATTGTTTATTTCACTTTTGTTTATTATCTACTTCACTTGCTTTGGCAATGTTAACATATGTTTCCCATGCCAATAAAGCCCTTAAATTGAAATGAATTGAATTGAAATTGAATTGAGAGAGAAAGAAAGAGAGAGAGAGAGAGAGAGAGAGAGAGAGAGAGAGAGAGAGAGAGAGAGAGAGAGAGAGAGAGAGAGAGAGAGAGAGAGAGAGAGCGAAAGAGAGAGAGAGAGAGAAGAGAGAGAGAGAGAGAGAGAGAGAGAGAGAGAGAGAGAGAGAGAGAGAGACTGAATAAAGTATAAGTGGGGGGTAAATAGTAAATATGACATGAATAGTTTTCTTAACTCACTCTGATCTGGAGAAGCATCCATTACAAACCATCTGACATGCAAAGCACTCTGGGAAGTTTGGAAAGCCTGGAAGGAAAAACAAAATACAACCACAGGTCAAGGACAACCACTAATGAACTGTGTTAAACAGTAACTTGAGTTTTTCTTTTGCATGAAACCATTGAAGTCAAGAGAAGCGCCCTTCTTTAAAAGTCTCTTCTCACCTTAGTAGAATATCTGTCAGTGGGATGGATGATGATGCGGACAAGGAAAGGACTTCTGCTCGCTCGATTCTGTTCATACCCACGTATCTCTTCTAGCAGAACCTGTGTTGCCACGTTGTGAGGGAACATGAGAACCGCACCAGTTCCAACTACAGGGAAGGCAACGGAACAGAAGCCCTGGTTCTCACAAGAGGCTAGAACTCTCCTCACACCCTGCCTCAGAGCCTGAGAGAGGACCAGAGGTCAGGGGTTAATGGAGGTTCAAAGGTCATAACTGCCATGTGAAGACACACACACACGGACACATACAAGGGGACACACCTGTACTGCTGGTCCTTGGGAGTTGTTGTCCCAGTGTGCACAGCTGAGGAAGAAGACACGGCCAGAGCTGAGACCAGACAATCCGTCCACCAGGACGTAGTCACCAGGTGCAGTCTGTCCCCTTGATTCCCTCAGAAATGCTTTCATCAGCCCCGGTCCAGCTGCCTTCGACAAGACATTACCAACACGGGAGGAGAGAGGGTCACTACCAACCATGGGGGACACCAGGGCATCCACCTTCAGAGAGACAGACAGAGAGACAAATAAGAGGAAAGAAAGAGATAAAGAAATAAAGAAAAAGGGTAACAGAAAAAGGAAGAGAAAGTGTAAAAGAGAATGGGAACATTGAGTCAGTATGAAGTCAACATAATTCACAGAATGTTGTTGAATCAAGAATGTGGCCATGTCAGTGTCTCTCTCTCACCTTCTGCTTCTCTATGGTTCCCTGGATGATCTCCACCTGGACACAGACCTCTGGAGCCGCTGCTCCCCTTGCGGAGGCAGAAGTGGTGTCTCTCTGAGGAGCATGTGTAGTGGTAGTGGTGGTGGTGCTGGACTCTCCCTCCCACCCAGAAAACTCCCTCTTCCCCTGAAACAGCCTATCACAGGCCTCCTGCATGGCTTTCACTGCCTCTCCACTCACATCAATCAGAGTGACCTTGGTAAGGATGTGCTGTTCCCTCCCAAAGTCCCTCACTGCAGAGACTATGGCCTCAGAGCACACCTTCAGAGGAACGCCAAATATCCCTGAGCTGATGCAGGGCATGGCCAGGGTCTGAAGCTCCAGGGTCTCTGCCAGATCCAGGGCTGCCTTTACTGTCTTCTCCAGCAGAGGGCGCTCATTCCCACCTATGCTGCCACCTACTGGTCCCACCGCATGCAGCAGCATCTTACAAGGCAGATTCCCTCCTGTAGTCTCTACCACTGTACCTGTGGGTACTCTCCCTATTTGCCTAACCAGATCTCTGCTGGCCCGCTGTACCTCAGGCCCCCCCGCCCGGCTCAGAGCTGCAGCCACGCCACCGGCGTGATCCAGGTCCTCATTGGCTGCGTTCACCAGCGCGTCCGCCCGTTCCTTGGTGATGTCACCTTGACGCACCACAACCTGCAGCCCCCGCTGGAGGCAATAGCTAGTGGCTGTGACCATCTCCTCCAGTCTTGGTCCGGCGCCAGCTTCGCCGGCAATGCCACCCTGGTTGTGCAGCTGGATGACGCAGTGTTGAGAGCGGCCCACCACTTCCAGGTACTCCCTTCCCAGGCCTTGGAAGTAGCGTAGCGCCCCCGGCTGGTCTATGGTCACAGTCTGGTGGACCAAGGAGGCCAGAGCAGGGCCCAACCTGTCCCTGACTTGGGCCACCCGGACAGAGGGTCCACAGAGCACCACAGTGGGGTGGATGGCTGAGGCTGAGGGGTAGAGGGTCACCCCAGCGTGGTCCACACCGATCCTCTCCAGAAGTTTTGGTAGGTGGTCAGCTATCTCCGGGTAAGGTAGACACACTGTCTCCTCCACACTGGACTGGTCTATCAGAAAGGTCCCGATCTCCTTCCTCAGCTCCTGAACCTGCTTCATGTGGCCCAGAAGCTGCACTCTACACCCAGGACCATACCTGGTCACCACCCTGCGTCTGCTCTGGTTCATCTCCTTGACCTTCTTCTCAAGCTTGGACTTCAGTTCAGATGGCAGGGCAGCACAGTTGGGCACATCGACTTTCTCCTCCCCAAACTCCCCCAGCAGAGACTTCTCAGCCTGGTCCAGTTTACCAGAGGAGAGGGAGAACAGATGGAGCTCTGTGTCCCCCAGCTCTATTTCTACTTGGCGTCCCAACCCCAGCAGACTTCTCATGTTCCCAGGCCTCCCATACTCATCCCTCAGGAAGGACAGGAGGTGGGGGGACACCTCAGGCACCACCCGCTGCAGCACCAGAGAGATCTTATCTCTAACTAACTGTCTGGCTGTCCGGACTTCACTTGCTGAACCCTCCAGCACCAGCTGAGCTGAGTCACCGCGCGTCACCCTCACCCCTGGAACAGCCTCACCTAGATCCTTCTCTATAACTTCCCCTAGAAGACGGAGCTTGGCCTGTCCCAGACGACAGGTGGTGCTGATCTTCTCCTGCTTCCCTGAGCTCAGACCCTGACCCTGGATGGCCTCCAGCGCCTTCATCTTGGCCTGGACCTCGGCCTCCTCCCCAACCACCACCGCAAACCCTTCCCCTGCCTCACAGTAAACTCTCACATCCTCCGAACCCAGGGTACTGCTCTGCAGCAGAGTCTGGAGCTTACGTGGGTCTACCTCATAGTGGCATTTGTACTGCTCCTGGAGCTGTTTGAACAGTCTCTCTACCTGTGCCTTCCATGGTCCCACCCCAACCCCATCTCCACATGACCCAGCTTGGCCTGAGCCTCTGACCACTGCCCTCCCGTCCTCTGGGTGGAGATGGACAGAGCACCTCAAAGAGGACAGCTGCTGCTGCAGGTCTCTTCCAGCTCCAGGGCTCTCCTTCAGGTAGCGCAGGAGGTAGGAGTCTAGATGGAGTTCATGCTCTAGGTCACCAGGTGGCGAAGTCTCTACTGGGAGGCAGGGGTGGAATGGGAGGGACTGGTGACTCTAGTCAGAAAAAAAATGTGTAATTCCACTGTTAATTTTTTACATTTTAGTCATTTAGCAGACACCCTTATCCAGAGCGACTTACAGTTAGTGAGTGCATACATTTTATTTGTATTTATTTTTCATACTGGCCCCCGTGGGAATCGAACCCACAACCCTGGCGTTGCAAGCGCCATGCTCTACCAACTGAGCTACACGGGGGGCCAGTATGTTATGTTATGTTATGTTGTATTACAGTGGGGGAAAAAAGTATTTAGTCAGCCACCAATTGTGCATGTTCTCCCACTTAAAAAGATGAGAGAGGCCTGTAATTTTCATCATAGGTACACGTCAACTATGACAGACAAAATTACAAAAAGAAAATCCAGAAAATCACATTGAAGGATTTTTTATGAATTTATTTGCAAATTATGGTGGAAAATAAGTATTTGGTCACCTACAAACAAGCAAGATTTCTGGCTCTCACAGACCTGTAACTTATTCTTTAAGAGGCTCCTCTGTCCTCCACTCGTTACCTGTATTAATGGCACCTGTTTGAACTTGTTATCAGTATAAAAGACACCTGTCCACAACCTCAAACAGTCACAATCCAAACTCCACTATGGCCAAGACCAAAGAGCTGTCAAAGGACACCAGAAACAAAATTGTAGACCTGCACCAGGCTGGGAAGACTGAATCTGCAATTGGTAAGCAGCTTGGTTTGAAGAAATCAACTGTGGGAGCAATTATTAGGAAATGGAAGACATACAAGACCACTGATAATCTCCCTCGATCTGGGGCTCCACGCAAGATCTCACCCCGTGGGGTCAAAATGATCACAAGAATGGTGAGCAAAAATCCCAGAACCACACTGGGGGACCTAGTGAATGACCTGCAGAGATCTGGGACCAAAGTAACAAAGCCTACCATCAGTAACACACTACACCGCCAGGGACTCAAATCCTGCAGTGCAGACGTGTCCCCCTGCTTAAGCCAGTACATGTCCAGGCCCGTCTGAAGTGCATTTGGATGATCCAGAAGAGGATTGGGAGAATGTCATATGGTCAGATGAAACCAAAATAGAACTTTTTGGTAAAAACTAAACTCGTCGTGTTTGGAGGACAAAGAATGCTGAGTTGCATCCAATGAACACCATACCTACTGTGAAGCATGGGGGTGGATACATCATGCTTTGGGGCTGTTTTTCTGCAAAGGGACCAGGACGACTGATCCGTGTAAAGGAAAGAATGAATGGGGCCATGTATCGTGAGATTTTGAGTGAAAACCTCCTTCCATCAGCAAGAGCATTGAAGATGAAACGTGGCTGGGTCTTTCAGCATGACAATGATCCCAAACACACCGCCCGCGCAACGAAGGAGTGGCTTCGTAAGAAGCATTTCAGGGTCCTGGAGTGGCCTAGCCAGTCTCCAGATCTCAACCCCATAGAAAATCTTTGGAGGGAGTTGAAAGTCCGTGTTGCCCAGCGACAGCCCCAAAACATCACTGCTCTAGAGGAGATCTGCATGGAGGAATGGGCCAAAATACCAGCAACAGTGTGTGAAAACCTTGTGAAGACTTACAGAAAATGTTTGACCTGTGTCATTGCCAACAAAGGGTATATAACAAAGTATTGACAAACTTTTGTTATTGACCAAATACTTATTTTCCACCATAATTTGCAAATAAATTAATTAAAAATCCTACAATGTGATTATCTGGAGAAAAAAAATCTCATTTTGTCTGTCATAGTTGACGTGTACCCATGATGAAAATTACAGGCCTCTCTCATCTTTTTAAGTGGGAGAACTTGCACAATTGGTGGCTGACTAAATACTTTTTATCCCCCCTCTATATCTGTCTTTATCTACATTTATTATTCATTTATTATTGTAGGTCGACCATGCATCTGCATCTGGATTATCTGATAAATCTAGTATCTGGTTTGGCATTTGTCCATTTTGTTAGTTTAGTACAGATTTCTTTAGTTAGAATTTATTTTAATGTCATTCCTCATATTGTAAATTAATGTTTTACTTATTATAATATCACATAAAATCAAACATGCAATAAAACAGTGAAGACTATTTTGACCTCATTTGAAGGGATAATAAAGTTATTACCTGACTAAGCTTTGTGTTTAATGGGATGCAAATACAACAACAGTGCATTGACGTCTGTATATTTTGACCTCATATTATGGGAAATAAATGCCTTATCTAACAGGTTATGTGACAGGTTATGTATAGGTCTGTCTGCATATCCTGGACTCACCGACTGACTGCTGACTGGGGAGGTTGTTGTGGGTGGAGGCTCCAGGCTGCCTCTCAGAGTGAGGGAAAGAGATCCCCCAGGCATCTCCAAAACATGATTAGGTTTCTGAAGTACCCTCTTCTGGACTGGAAGAATTAAAGAGGAATGAGTTGTTGTTGTTGTTGTTATCGTAGTAGTGGTAATAAAATTAACAACCCTAACTCAGAGGCTAAGTAAATGGTAATTGAGCTAATATGAAGTACCGGTACAACCTAAGATGGTTTAACTCTAACTCAGTTCCAATTGTATCTGAAATATGAAACTCTGAACTTGGTACAGAGAAATGGACTCGAATCTAAATATGTATACATTTATTTTGTTATTTTTGAGTGACGCTGCCACGCCCCCCAGGGGCCAAATCTGGGGTGGGTCAATATCTATATATTTTCAGGGTACATACTGTACATCTACCTCTGTGCCAAATTTGGTGCTTTTATCAGAAAGTGCACTATTGAGTCCACATTTTCAGCTTAGCTGCACACCACTATTATACAAAATATACATTATTTTTCATGCCTCCATATTAACACAGACATTAACGTAAATGGTGTGTTTTATGTCAGTAACTAGTTGCTTGAAAAATCCAAAAAATGTCAATATGTTCAAAGGATCACATGTATGGCACAAATCCCATTCAAGTCATGGGACCAATAATAGCATTTGTCACGCATCATGTCCAAATCATCCCAGTATCTAAAATTGATTTTGAAGCTAAACAAAGTAACTTATAGATGTTTTGAACATTATGCAAAAAAAGAGGCTAATTTCGGTCCAATGACTTGAATGGGATTTGTGCCACAAATGCTAAAACATTGTGGAAACAGTGCCTGGGAAACTAAACCAAAGCATGGAATGCAGTAATACCTTGTCCATAGACTGCTTACAGGGTAGAGAAACCAATTAGTAATTGTGTAATTTGGGTGAACTATCCCTTTAACTTCAATAGGTTTGTTATGACAGAGATAACCGGGGAGGGGTGAGCAGGGTATGTTGTGTTTGTGCATGTAGCACAATTTAAATGTGAAAGTGAAACTGTTCCAGAATTACAAAGGAAAACATTTCAAGATACTTTTTTACGTTTCACCTTTAGTTTCAAGTACAGCTCAAATAAAAATCTCTAAATGTCCATACCTGCCCCGTCAATAAATGCGATCTTGTAAACGTTGTCACCAACTTTGTTTATTGGTCCGCAGTCTCCGCCACCAGATTTACGGCGAACCTGAAAGTACTTTTCTATCTTCTCTTTCTGTGCTGAATCCAGACTGTGAGCCTCGAAGAAAACGGGGTATTTGTAAACTTCCATATTGTAACTTAAAGTAGGCTATTCGCTTTATTTTAATAGCTACTGTACATGGGCTCAAATCAGTTTCATTCGAACAGCACAAACGTTTACCGATCATTGAGCCTACCGTCTGATTAATTTTTTTCCGGTGAACTTGACAATGTACCTGACGCGCGCGAGCACGCCTCCTCGCCAAAGATACACACCTTTTTGTATTCTACTTGGCAACATAGACATTGGGCACGCTCAAGCGGATCGGTTTTGTCAAGTGGTCAATGCCTTTCAAAGTGTGTTGCATAATGTGGATTAAAATGGTAAAGACTTGCGCCTAATGTGGACTGCATGAACTTTAGAAAAATCATGTGATCAAAGGTAATTACGTTTTGAATGCAGTCGACTACAGCCATTGCCTGCATTGTGGAAGGCTCTATTGTCAACCAATTATTTGGGTGTTTTTGTTTGACCTGCACAAGACTGGGATGGGCTACAGGACAATAGGCAAGCAGCTTGGTGAGAAGGCAACAACTGTTGGTGCAATTATTAGAAAATGGAAGAAGTTCAAGATGACGGTCAATCACCCTCGGTCTGGGGCTCCATGCAAGATCTCACCTCGTGGGGCATCAATGATCATGAGGAAGGTGAGGGATCAGCCCAGAACTACACGGCAGGACCTGGTCAATGACCTGAAGAGAGCTGGGACCACAGTCTTAAAGAAAACCATTAGTAACACACTACGCCGTCATGGATTAAAATCCTGCATCGCACGCAAATTCCCCCTGCTCAAGTCAGCGCATGTCCAGGCCCGTCTGAAGTTTGCCAATGACCATCTGGATGATCCAGAGGAGGAATGGGAGAAGGTCGTGTGGTCTGATGAGACAAAAATAGAGCTTTTTGGTCTAAACTCCACTCGCCGTGTTTGGAGAAAGAAGAAGGATGAGTACAACCCCAAGAACACCATCCCAACCGTGAAGCATGGAGGTGGAAACATCATTCTTTGGGGATGCTTTTCTGCAAAGGGGACAGGACGACTGCACCGTATTGAGGGGAGGATGGATGGGGCCATGTATCGCGAGATCTTGGCCAACAACCTCCTTCTCTCAGTAAGAGCATTGAAGATGGGTCGTGGCTGGGTCTTCCAGCATGACAACGACCCGAAAACACACAGCCAGGGCAACTAAGGAGTGGCTCCGTAAGAAGCATCTCAAGGTCCTGGAGTGGCCTAGCCAGTCTCCAGACCTGAACCCAATAGAAAATCTTTGGAGGGAGCTGAAAGGCAGGTAGCTTAGTGGGTAAGAGTGTTGTGCCAGTAACCGAAAGGTCGCTGGTTCTAATCCCCGAGCCGACTAGGTGAAAAATCTGTCGCTGTGCCCTTGAGCAAGGCACTTAACCCTAATTGCTCCTGTAAGTCGCTCTGGATAAGAGCGTCTGCTAAATGACTAAAATGTAAAATGTAAATGTAAAGTCCGTATTGCCCAGCGACAGCCCCGAAACCTGAAGGATCTGGAGAAGGTATGGAGGAGTGGGCCAAAATCCCTGCTGCAGTGTGTGCAAACCTGGTCAAGAGCTACAGGAAACGTATTATCTCTGTAATTGCAAACAAAGGTTTCTGTACCAAATATTAAGTTCTGCTTTTCTGATGTATCAAATACTTATGTCATGCAATAAAATGCAAATTATTACTTAAAAATCATACAATGTGATTTTCTGGATTTTAGTTTTAGATTCCGTCTCTCACAGTTGAAGTGTACCTATGATAAAAATTACAGACCTCTACATGCTTTGTAAGTAGGAAAACCTGCAAAATCGGCAGTGTATCAAATACTTGTTCTCCCCACTGTACTTATGTCATGCAATAAAATGCAAATTAATTACTTAAAAATCATACAATGTGATTTTCTGGATTTTTGTTTTAGATTCCGTCTCTCACAGTTGAAGTGTACCTATGATAAAAATTACAGACCTCTACATGCTTTGTAAGTAGGAAAACCTGCAAAATCGGCAGTGTATCAAATACTTGTTCTCCCCACTGTACTTATGTCATGCAATAAAATGCAAATTAATTACTTAAAAATCATACAATGTGATTTTCTGGATTTTTGTTTTAGATTCCGTCTCTCACAGTTGAAGTGTACCTATGATAAAAATTACAGACCTCTACATGCTTTGTAAGTAGGAAAACCTGCAAAATCGGCAGTGTATCAAATACTTGTTCTCCCCACTGTACGTTCCATTCCTGCGGTACAATTGACAATCATGGCCATAATTCTTTTTTTTTTAAACACTGCATCACTCTTTCAGGGCCGGCTGTAGCCTTTTGGGGGCCCTAAGCGAGATTTGATTGGGAGGGGGCCCTCACCTTGTGGCAAAATATTTTAGTGGCCCCCCTCTTGACGGTGTAGAGAATAATTTGTTTTAAAGTCAATTTTCTGCAATTCTACACATTTTGGAATAACCACGGGGAGCTGGGAAGGTGGTGGTGTAGCCTGCAGTTGGCGTATGGCCCTGAGCACCTCGTCCATGGCAGTCCCGAGGCGCTCCAGGCACAAGTAATGGTGGAGGAGCTTCGCTCCTACAGCGGAGAGGTCAGGATGTTCTACTGCTTCCTGTTTTCTTAGGTCTGTCATTCTGTCACAAGTGTAGCGAGGAGTAGTCAGGAGGCAGTCGCAGGTTTAGAACTATTGAATTTATTAAAGCTTAAAGCGGGACGAAACCCACAGTGCAAAATATAAAGTACTCAGGAAATAGTAGGAGAGATTCATCTCAGGAAAACAAGCAACATATACAATTACCAACAAAGACAAATGACAGAGGGAGTATATGTACAGTGATAGAGTGGGGATTGGATTCAGGTGTGTGTAATGATGACGAGACAAGTCCGGGGTTGATGAGTGAAGGGCGTTTGCCAGCAGCAGGTTCGGCAGCAGCTAGAAGGCCGGTGATGCCGAATGCCTGAGCTAGACAGGAGGGCGAGCTAAAGCGAAGGCTGGAGTGACAGCAATTCTACCCATTTTGTGATGGGGGGGTAGATAAAAATGTTTTAGATAGTTGGTTAGATTAACTACCAATCTAAAAACCTTTAGCTGACATGACTATCAGTGACTTGACATAGCAAGAGAAAAACTGCTGATGCATTACCACATTTCAAAATTGTACCTAGTATATTCTACTATTCTTTTGGTTAGGGGGCCCCTAGCGGCCAGGGGCCCTAAACCAGGCTTTCCCAAACTCGGTCCTGGGGCCCCCACTGGTTGCACATTTTGGTTTTTACCCTAGCACTACACAGCTGATTCAAATAATCAAAGCTTGACGATGAGTTGGTTATTTCAATCAGCTGTGTAGTGCTAGGGCAAAAACCAAAATGTGCACCCAGGGAGGGCTCCGGGACTGAGTTTGGGAAGCCCTACCCTAAGCGATCGCTTATGCCTGGAACCGGCCATGCACTCTCTATTGACCACGGCCTACTCACAGGGATCCTTTTAGCATCCCTCACCCTGGACCCATCTTCCTCTACTACTCTCTTCACTGCCTCAGCATAAGACACCTTATGAACTACTCTGATCCTGGCAACCTCAACCTACCTTTCTCTCACCGGACACCTCTGTACTCCAGCACCATGGGTACCCCTACAGTTTACACACATCATTTTTTTCCAGCAATACTACACATTCCTTTGTCCTCCTGCAGACTTCTCATATCTAATAATCTCCCACCTACACACTGCTGCCACATGACCATAAGCTTGACACCTAAAACACCGTAATGGGTTCGGGACAAAAGCATTCACGGGATAACTGACACATCCTAACTCGATTTTATCTGGTAAAAACTCTGCATCAAAACTCAGTGGTATAGTTGAAGTCGGAAGTTTGCATACACTTAGGTTGGAGTCATTAAAACTAGTTTTTCAACCACTCCACACATTTCTTCTTAACAAACTATAGTTTTGGCAAGTCGGTTAGGACATCTACTTTGTGCATGACACAAATAATTTTTCCAACAATTGTTTACAGACAGATTATTTCACTTATAATTCACTGTATCACAATTCAACTAGCTCTGTCAGGAGGAATGGGCCAAAATTCACCCAACTTATTGTGGGAAGCTTGTGGAAGGCTACCCGAAACGTTTGACCCAAGTTAAACAATTTAAAGGCAATGCTACCAAATACTAATTGAGTGTATGTGAACTTCTGACCCACTGGGAATGTCATGAAATGAATAAAAGCTGAAATAAATCATTCTCTCTACTATTATTCGGACATTTCACATTCTTAAAATAAAGTGGTGATCCTAACTGACCTAAGACATGGAATTTTTACTAGGATTAAATGTCAGGAATTGTGAAAAACTGAGTTGAAATGTATTTGGCTAAGGTGTATGTAAACTTCCGACTTCAACTGTACATACAGTGTTTTCTCTGGTTCACCACGCTCTCCACCAGGTCTGCGTTGCACCAAACGGTGGGCGTCACAGACACCCTCCTTAACTTTCATCTACAGTCGGTTGCTTTAGCCACCACCCAAACGCGCCCATTAAAACAGTAGATAGTGATAGCGCTGACATCATCCTCGTATTCCAATGAAGCCGGAAGTATTTTGAGTTTGAAGCACGCCATATAGAGCTCGCCAGCTTGTAGTCCTAAAACCCAGAAATGGGATACTTCTGGTTCAGCCATCCCTATTCAAATTTTTTTATTAGGAATGAATAGGGTTTTGGAATAAACGCCAAAAATAAGGTCTGAGGTTAACACAAGCTTATGAGATCTTGTACGTTTTGTTCTATATTTGTGAATATTGAAGCAATTATGTAATAAAACAAAAACATAATGTGCATAAAGGCTTCATAATTCATAAAGATTAACTGAATTATAGTATCTCATAGAAATAAACGTACAGTGCATTTGGAAAGTATTCAGACCGCTTGACATTTTCCACATTTTGTTACGTTACAGCCTTATTCAAAAATTGATTAAATTGTTTTTTTCCCCCCTCATCAATCTACACACAATACCCCATAATAACA